TCAAGTTGCATGATATGCGTTCTTGGATGTTGTGAACAGTTTTTGTTGTTGTTTTTTGCAACTTTTGTTCTTTGTGTCCCTCACTTGTAAGGGTCTCACTAAGTCCAGTACATCAAGTCTAAGAGCTGCATTGCACTGACCTCCGTGTTGAATTCTGAGTCCTCCTTGTGTGGTCTCCCTCCCTGCCACACAGCAGAATTGGGAAAACTGAACAGGGTCCCTATGTGCTTTGCCATCTGAGCAAGGGCATAGGAAGAGAAAAAGCCAGACTGCCAGAGAATACCTTGTAGAGAGACATTTGGTGATTTTTTTTTCTTTTCTGATGACTTTCTTGTAAATATTGAGTTACTCTATTTTTGTGATTGTTCTTTTGTACCTTAGGAAACTCTTACAATGACAGCATTAATAATTATAACTACTAATAGAAAAACTCTAAAAAAGGTTAGGTACAGGCACAGAAGAACACACTAGAAGACAGAAATTACAGCATGCCTACACATTAAAAGTTTCCAGATCCTCAAGAAAATATTAAAAGCTTGGCTAAATATATAATATGTGGACTTTGGGCCAGATTTCCAGGGAAGCACTAAGGTCCTCACCTTCAGAAATTTTCATTTTACAAGGTCAGAGGCATTGAATGTACCCTATTTGGTGAAGAGAAAAGTCAAAGTGACTAAAAGTTGACATAGTGAAATAATGACAGAGGCCATAATTGGCAGTTGAGTTGGTCCTCACCGATGATTAGAGTCTCATGTGATAAGGCATCCCCAAATCTCTCACATTAATTGGGAGTACACGAACTAGAGATTTAAGTGTTTCCCTAAAAAACAGTAAAAATATCCCATGGCTTTCAATTGTGGTTTTGTAAGCAACTCAGAGGTGAAGATGATTTCAGAACCCACAGTAATTATAATAATTTACAACAGCAAAGCATCTATGTTTGTGTGCTGCATTATGGTTTATGAATCTAGAAACTCTATAATTCCCTATGAAATGAGTATTAGTATGTATCATTTATCAGAAAAAGAAATAATAAGGAAGTTCCTGGAGGTCAGGCATGTTGACCATGATCACACCCAGCTGGTGGGTAACAGAACTTAAAGAGGTACCACAACCTCACCACCACATCATAGAGAACTCTCCAAATCATGTAGGTTCTTGGGATTTCTAAATGAAGTCCATAATTTAGCAAGCATGGCAGCTGATGCTGACTTCAGACCCCAAGTGCACACTGTGCGTTTGTCATTATTTCCACCTCTGTGCAGCAGGCAGATGTTTCCTTATCTATCAAGGCTGCTGAACCTCATTACATTGGCATTCACCTGCACCAGCGAGCAGGGCAGAGGGCTGAGGCCATCACCTGGATGAACTGGGTTGGAAACAGACAACTAATCAAAGGAGTAAGATAGGGATTATCTTGCTTATTTGTCTGCATAGCCCAAACTCACTCTATAGTCACTTATTCCATTTCTATTTTTGCATCTAATAGGTTTTGCAATGTACTTTGAGCAAAAAGAAGGCATTTTAAGTTTGGGTGCAGATTTCAAACCCATCTGCATCTGCTATAATTATAAAGACTGTAAACAGGAACTCGGCTTTGAGGCAAAGCTTAAAAATACACTTCTCATTTTGCCAAGATTTGAGGGGAAAGAAACAAGGGCTTGTTTTTCTTTTTGGTACATGTATCTTATCTCAATGTTAAGACCATTTCCTTTTTAAAATCTGAGAACTGCTATAGAGCACATCTGCTGCTCATAGGCATAAGTGACCTTGAGAAAGCCATCCTATTTAAGCCCCAGTTTCTTCATTTGTACAATAACTATGACAACAGTATTTATGGCTTAGAGTTGTTGCAAGAATTAAATGAGATTTAATACATAGAAAGTTTTTAGAACATTTCCTGTGATTTTTCTCCCACCCAAGAAAAAAAGTCTTCTTATTAAGTCTCTGAGATGATACAAGGAATTTTGTTTTTCAGTTGGATGTCAGTGGCTCACACCTGTAATCCTAGCTACTTGGGGAGTCTGAGATCAGGAGGATTACTTTTTGAGGCCAGCCAGAGCAAGTAGTTCGCTAGAACCCATCTCCAAAACAACCAGAGTAAATTGGACTGCAAGCGTGGCTCAGCAAAGCCCTGAGTTCAAACCCCAGTCCCCCCAAAACACAATTATATTTTTCTTTTACATTTACCAAAGTATTAAATACTAATGCCTAGATATCTCTTGAAATTCCGTTGCCTTTATTTGTGTGTATAACACATGTGATAATGCTTCAGAAGAGCAGAAACTCATTATGCTGTTTACTTCATTATTTAATGATTATTTGGCTCCTAGAAGGAGTGTCTGTTATTGTCCATCATTCTGTATCTTGTCTGCTCCCTGGAAAGCTATGGGAAATAATTGTAAGTCCACTCTCTTATTCCTAGCAAGTCATGAACTCTGGCTTGCTGACAAGTCCCAGTGCCAACACAGTCTTATAGAAAGATCTGAGAATCAGAAAACCAGTATTCAAGTTCAGACTTACTGACTTCCTAGCTGTAAGTCCTGGAAGAAACCACTGAGCTACATTAACAACCCATGGGATGGAGCCTCTTCTTCTTCCTTCATAGGATTACTGTGACTAAAAGTCACAAAGAATGACTAAAAGTGATTTTAAAACACCAACGCACTGGGGATCACTTAGTATCATTATGGCAGACTTACTGGTGTACGCATTAGTTATAATAGGTTCCATGACAGGATAATGAAATAATAAATAATGCTCTGTATATAACTGATTATTTTGATAAACAAGCCTTTCATAGAGAATGAGCAATAGATATCATTCTTTTTCATTAAAAAACTAATCTGAGTACTTTTTAAGAAATCCAATTGCTTTTCCCTCTCATGTGTTAACTTAAAAACTCTTCCAAGTTTAAAGGTCTAAAAGCAGATTGGTCCCAAAGGCCCTCTGAGGGTTTGGGATCATAAGAGCAGATCCTAGACAGTTTGCCTCTTTCAGATAACAGAGAGATCCAAACAGGGAGTGTACTAAAGTGTGGGGGTTAGAAAGGAAGCTCAGAACAGGTCAGGACTCTGGAGACAGACTGCCTGGGCTCAAGGCCACATCTGCTTTGTGACCACGAATGAGTGACCAGCTTCTCTAAACCCATTTCCTTGTCTATAAAAGTGTATAGATAGTGTTTTTCTGCCTTGTTTTCCCAGTGCCTGTTGGTCTCTAAGATAGCATTGTGTAGGTACACCTTCTCTGTAAAAATAAAGGCCTTGATTTGTAGTGTGTGCTGATTTCCACGGTGTAAATACTCACACCATTCCTGGTATCAAGCTACCAGCATGATTGCTGGCTTGCCAAATTTCTGAATATTTAGCAGTCATTTCTGATGACCCTCTGAGAGAACTGCAGCAAACCACCACCATTACTCAGGCACTCAGTCAGTGTGGACAGGTTAATCAGTCAGCTGGGTGCTGCATCAAGTGCTATTAGATGTCCCACAGAAGCTAATGAAAATGACGAAATGCAGGAGGAAAATGTCTGTGAGTAAAAGCGCACATTAGAGGTAGCATCTCATTTTCAATTCTGATTTTCCAAGGCACAGAGACACTCCAGTCACTTCTCTGCCATTAGATAAGAAATCAGTATCACGTGATTTGAATGTCCCTGATTGTCAAGACAGAACTTCCTTGTCCCATCCCCGCCCCCAGCTGCTTCTGGCACAGCTTTATTTAAGAATTTATCAGAAGCTTGCCAAACAGGAGCTGGAGAGTTTACTACCTGGCTTTAGCTCCTTCCTGATGTCCCTCCCTCCTGCTCAATGGCATGCACTGAGTCCTGTCTGATGGCCATCCCACCCTTCTCTTTAGTCTAAAATAGAATCTAATTCATCCTTATAGTTACCTAAATGACATGCCATCCTGGCCAAGGATTTTCTCAATCCCAGATGCCTTCAACAAGTCCAATACAGTGAGCAACTTCCAAAATTGGAAAAAAAATAGCCCTAAACTGGCATAATTTGAAGCAAGCCTAAGCATACCTCAGATGACTGCCTCCTGCCCACAGGCTTCAGGCTGGCCTGCTTTGGACAGACTGCATCAACAATACTTCAGTCTGAAGATTTTTAACTATTTTAGATCTATGGCACTCACCCACCAAATATCACATCAGTCCCTAATCACTTGGTCACCCCAAAAGCCCTGTAGGTAAGAATGAAGGTGGCTCCTCAGAGTGTTCACACAGATCTTATGAATAAGGAAAGCCTCTCTGCCCTCTTCAGTTTAATGCTGGCAGCTTGCTGTCACAACCCCATCACCATGAAAGCCCACAGATGTGAGGAGAAATGGAGAAGACAATACCAACACAAGTTTGAAAGCGGAAGTCAGAGACATAGGTGGCAAAGAAGAGAGAAGAAAACCTCCTAGAGACCCGAATTCTGATAGAAGGGAATGCTGGGAACTGAATCCCACAAAAGACCCAGAATTGGAAGTATTGGTACTTCTGATGGGGAGATGACAGGGAGAAGAGCTTTGTATTAATCTATTTTCCTTTACTATAATAAAATACCTGAGAGAGGCTTGGCATGTTATAAAGAAAAGTTCATTTAGCTCACAGTTCTGACGGGTCAAGGGCATAGCAATAGTGTCAGCTCAGCTCTGATGAGGACCTCATGGTAGATGCATCACAGCAGTAGTTTGTGCTAAAGAGATATTATTTGGCAAGACCAAAGCCAGAGAGCAAACCTCCCCAGAGATATGAGAGAAAGAGAGAGTTAGGAAGTATCCATCTGAGACAGAACTAATAAAAGTTCCATACTTTTACTGAACAGAGAAAACAAAAACAAAGAAATCACCAGTAAAATAATAAAAGAAATATTCCCCAAGTTAAAGAACAAGAATTTCCAGGTGTTGGTTTAAATAAACCCACCTAAAGTACATCACTGCAAAATATCAGAAATTTGAGGGCAAAAGGATAATCTTCCAGGATATTAGAGAGGGAAAAAACCAGGTCACATACAAACTTCAGGAGGCAAAATGACTTTGGATTGCTTAGAATGCAATATTCAACCTAACTCTTAAAACAGGTGAAGGGTTCCACTACATAAGATCTTAGGAAATTCAACTCCTAGGAGCCCTTCTGTGGGAAGATTCGATAGAGTTTGTTCTACTGAGATGAGAGGGTTAACCAAGAATAGGCAGCCAGGTGATGCAAGAAACATTTCCAACATAGAAGAGCGGGTAAAATACAGCTAGTCAGGGTGGAGCCCCTCAGAGGCCTCAGGAGAGACCTCCTCAGGGGATGGAAATGCAGGGTACAGATGCAACTCAACATAAACCTACTTGATGAAGAGTTTGGAGTTAAATTTATAATAAATATTCAGAATATGAGCAACCCAAAACACAGGACAATCTTGTAACTCCATGGAAAACAAAACCTTGCACATGAAAGTAAAAATAATCACAGTTCACTAGGTGGCTTAGCTGCAAATAGTGATAATAGTTACTTACAGTATTACAATATGTCAGGAGGTAGGCCCATCAGAAGAGTGTCCATAAGGGGTGGAGCTATGAAAATGCATATGAGGGAAATAATCACAAAATAACAAAATTGGGCAGAAGAAAAAATACAAAATATGAAAGGGATACCCAGATTATTTCTGAGGAAGTATAAATGCCTTATTTTAAAAACTAAAATCCATAGAACTATCTGCCTCTTTACTATGTGTGTATGTAACTTCAACAACAAAAACTGATTTGATTTCTTATTTTTAAAGTAAGAAAGTGCATTTGTGGGAAATGCGCAATGCTGTCTCTTCTTCGAATCTTGCCTTATCTCATGTTGATTAGATCTTGTAGTTGGGATGTTGCTGCCCACTTCTGCCAGATGGGTTCATGAACAGGAAGTGGAAAAGATGCAAAAGTCAGGATCTGGGTGGGTTGCTGGAGTTCTCTGTTACCCCGCATTTGTCAATCTGAGGATCGACTACTCTCAATCTCCCTGCTCACCCTCACTTCTTCCCTGGCTGGGGATTTCAGTCCTCGGCTAAGGATAAAGAGCTCAGGGCAGAACAGAGGCTCATGAAAAGAGGGAACGTGGTACCAGTGGGACTGTGCTCTATCTGGACCTGCCCCCCATTTATAGTAGCACTGTGGTAAAGAAAGCATCTTGCCCCCATCTTAGTGTCTGCTCTTGGAATCTGTCCCCATGTGCCTCTTACCGGTCTCACCAGTCCCCATGTATGTGGTTAATTAGATGAATTTTTGTGGACTAACAAGGAATCGAAACAGAAACTTGGCATTTTTGTGGGGAAATGGGTTCCAAATAACCAATTTGCTAATCATCTTCAGAATTTGGGTTTTGCTTAGGACAGGGCTCATGAGACCCTCTGTTTCCCCAGGCTATCAGTGTTCCTGTCTCTCACAGTTCACGGGGAGAAACTGTGAGTCCGAGATCACAGCCTGCTTCCCAAACCCCTGCCAGAATGGAGGGTCCTGTGACCCGATAGGAAACACTTTCCTCTGCAGCTGTAAAACTGGGCTCACCGGAGTCACGTAAGTGAGATTGTGCAATGTCTCTCCTATGCTGCTTCCTGTCCCTAAGGAAATAACCCAGTAGGCAATTCACTAGAATAATATATTTACGCTGGCTGCTAGGACAGACAGAAAGCTAATGTCATGTTTACAGGTAACTAAAGTGTTAGTATCATGAGGTTATGGGTAATTTATATATTTCTTATCTTCTTCATATTTTCAAAATTTTAAATAATTATGTATTCTATAATTAAGAAAACAATTCTCTTAAAGAAAGCCATTGATACCAGCTAATATTTCCAGTATAATTTTCAAGCAGACAAACTACCCCTACCCCAGACTAAGCTTTACCTTTCCTTTGTAAACCTTCCCCTTTTACTCCAAGAAATGAGTGGAATAAAAGTGTGAGCCAAATGGAAAGGGAACATTTAAAATTCGTAGTAAAATGCCACTTTCAACAGTCCTTGATCGTTTTAGAAGTATATACATGTAATCTCAAGCAAGTGATATTCTAATTACAGACCAGTCTCCTGTATTCATTAGAGCAAATCTCCTGAGGACTTTACCAAGAAATACTTAGCCGACTTTGAATCACTGGATGTAATTTAAAGTAATAAAGCTGCATTTATTTTTAAATACTCTGTGATTCTAACTAATTTCCGGCTAACCTGGCCTCAATCTGTTCATATTAGGGGGTTCAGCTACATTTTAAAAGGTGGATTACCAAAAATATAGGCGATTGGCTTTTTAAAATGAGCATATCAGAACAACTACTGAAGTACAGAAAAGTGAAGAAGAAAAGGTGTATGTTTTCAGAACGTTAAAGAATAAGACATAAATGCTTGCCTTATATATATACTCAAAATGAGTCATGAATTCCTTTAAAGAGAGTAAATCTGATTTAATTATTTTTCATTAGAATGCTTCAGTAGTTTTTCCTGATAATCTACGTTAGCTTTATCTTTGCCATAAACATAGAATCTGGAAAAGATGTAGCCCCTCCACCTACCCTTCCCCCGACCCCTTCCACCTGCCGGGCAGCCTCCAGCTTTCCAGTGGGACCAAAAATTACTGTAACCATTAGAGGAAAATGTCAGAGCCAAACATGTTTTTCCTCTTGAGAAACCCTGTAACGGGTACATAGGGTCACAGCTTTTTATGTGCAGTTCTATAATCTTGACAGCTGTGAGAACCTCCAATACTGCTCTGAGGCTCCTTCTAGTCTTTATTTATCTCATCTAGCAAGTAGAAACACTGGTGTATCTAAAAATGAGGCCCTCAGCCAGCACAGTTCTTGTTGAGGGGCAAGAGTATTTTACACAATGTGAGAAATAAATACTATATGGTCCTTTCTAAAATTGCACGATTTAAAATTTTAGTATGCACCTGGCCCTGAAATACCTTTTCCATAGCATCAGTTCTTTGGCTTTCTACTCCTCTTCCCCCACATTCTTCCTTGGGTTGGGAGGAACACCTTTTTGCAAGATGATCACTAAGGGTCACCATAAGCACAGAAATGCCTAAATTAGGCCACTCTAGGCTTGCTCCAGTGATCCCATCTACTAAAGAGGAGGAGATATGGAGGATTGAGGTTTGTGGTCAGCCTAGACAAGGAGTTAGCCACACTCCATCCAAGTCAACCAATGAGCAGGATGCAGTGATGTGCTCCTGTCATCCCTGCTGCAGAAGTTGGGGCTCTGAAGCCACGCAGGCAAAAACGCCAGACCCTACCTGAAAAAAGAGTGAAGCAGAAAGGGCTGGGGTGTAGCTCCAGAGGTAGAGCACCTGCCTCACAAGCATGAGGCCCTGAGTTCAAACCCCAGTACCACCAAAAAAAAAAAAAAAAAAAAAAGGGAAATCTAAATTAAGGCCCCCTCCACCACCATTTTTGTCCTGCTCCATCCATACCTTCAGGTGCTTTCTTGTCACTTAAGCACGCGTGTTCTGATCCTGATGCTGAGGGCTCTGCTTTGTCGCTAAGGTGCGAGGAGGACGTGAACGAGTGCGAGCGGGAGGAGTGCGAGAACGGCGGGGCCTGCGTCAATGTGTTCGGCTCCTTCCTCTGCAATTGCACGCCCGGCTTCGTGGGCCAGTACTGCGGCCTGCGCCCCGTAGTGGTGCCCAACATCCAGGCCGGCCACTCCTACGTGGGCAAGGAGGAGCTCATCGGCATCGCCGTGGTGCTCTTCGTCATCTTCACCCTGGTGGTCCTCTTCGTGGTCTTCCGCAAGAAGGTCTTCCGCAAGAACTACTCCCGCAACAACATCACGCTGGTGCAGGACCCGGCCACCGCCGCGCTGCTGCACAAGAGCAACGGCGTCCCGTTCCGAGGCCTGCGCGCGGGCGACGGCCGCAACCTGTACCAGGAGGTGGGGCCGCCGCAGGTGCCCGTGCGCCCCATGGCCTACACGCCCTGCTTCCAGAGCGACTCCCGGAGCAACCTGGACAAGATCGTGGACGGGCTGGGGGGCGAGCACCAGGAGATGACCACCTTCCACCCCGAGTCCCCGCGCATCCTCACGGCCCGGCGCGGCGTGGTCGTGTGCAGCGTGGCCCCCAACCTCCCGGCAGTGTCACCCTGCCGCTCGGATTGCGACTCCATCCGGAAGAATGGCTGGGACGCGGGAACTGAGAGTGAGTGGGAAGCAGCGGTGCCGTGTGTCGTGTTCCACGTAGTACTGGGAGCCTGCCGCGGGGCCACATGGTGGGAGGGAGTTAAGGAGAGGGGGCGAGAAACAGCGTACACAGCACTCGCTGTGACATATACCATCATCGACAAACACGTGGACCCGAGGAATTTGCTCTGGTTCCTATTTCATTTACACGTGGGCAGAATGAGGCTCAGAAAGGGGTCATGTCACATGCCCAGGGTCACAGTTTCCAGGAGGCTGCGGTGCTCTGTCCTGGTCTCCAGAATCTCTGCAATCTATGCTGTCCCCCCCCCACGGAGAGCCAAGTAGCTGCGAGGTGATGAACGTAAACTTGCTCTCAGAAGAAGCAAGTATTTTTAGGCCTAGAGTAAAGACAAGAGGGAAGCAGAGGAGCATTCGAGTTACACCAGGATGAGTAGAAGGGTCCCCCAGAGAAAGCAGGGCATTCCACGTGGACGGACCCCCATGATCAGAACAAGAGCAAGTCATTCTGTTTGGCTGCAGTGTCTGGCCCATGAAACAAAGGGTAACCATACAGCAAGAAAAGTGGCCGGAGCCAGTCGGACCTGAGGGTGGTATTTGCCTCTCCTTTTGGCCTCCTGCAGCAGAACTCTGAGCACAAAGGAGAGCCACAGGTGCACAGGCACCAAGGCAGGAAAGGGGTGTGGTGAATAACAAGAGGAGCTCAATGTAGTTGGAATCTGTTGAGCCGCTAGGGAGAGAATATGCATTTTAGCAGCAACAGTGGTGCAGGTTTTTAACAGGCGAGAGGCAGAATAATTGGATTTTTAAAATCTGGTTCACCTTTGGTAAATGTCACATTCTACCCCGTGTATAACAATAATAAAGAAATAAATTTTAAAAAAGAAAGCTGGTTTAGACTGATCCCTGGAAAGGGACTGAATAGTTGTGAATTGGGAAGAAAACAGAAAGCCAGTTAAGTAGCCTCTGTGAACATGTAGTTCAAAGATGGTGATTGCTTGCCCTGCCAGTCTCAGAGTGAGACTAAGGCAAGCTCCATTGTAACCTCTGACTTTCCATCAGGTTAAATGGTTTTATAAGCAGCAGTGGTGTCCTAGGTAGCACACGTTGCCTAAGGTCATGGTCACAGTACTACAGTGTATGTTGGGGGAGAAGAGAAGAGGTCGTTTCAAATGGTCCTAGAGAGCATGAACAGCCAAGGCGGTAACGAGTGTCCCTGTGGATATAGGGGACATTCCTATGTTATCTTCAAGCATGATAAGATTTTAGTAGCAAACCATTGAAGAGGGCCTCCCAGAAGCAGGTAGCAGCTAGACAGGGCAGAGGATGCATGATGGGATTACCCGAGGGGTATCTGGCTCTTTTCAGGAAAGACGTCAATGCCAGAGGTGAAAATGTGGACATGATCTGCATGCAGCACGGTTGGTGATTTCAGCGGGTGATCTTACTAAAGAATAGAGAGAAGTGGTCAAAGCAGGCCTCCAGCCGGACTTTGCAGATGCCTGAATGTGGGTGGAGGGCAGAAGGGCAGGAACCAGGAACAGGGGCACATACCAGCAAAGAGAAAGGAGGGAAAGAGAAGGGGACTACGCAGAAATCCAGAGGCGTCAGTAAAGTCAGCAATTTGAAGTGCTATAAAACCATCAAGGAGGACACAGTGTGTGTGTGTGGCAGCGAGTGGGGGGTGGTGGTGATGGAAACTGATCTCAACACCTGTAAGATTTTTAGAATTACAAGTGCTTCTTGGTGGAGCCATCAAGGTAGAAGCCAGAATGCAAGGGTTAGGGACAAAGATTTGGTGAGAATACACAGGTAAAGCCACCACTGCTGTGTCATCTCCTTCGATTGTCCCAGCTGGTTGCTAGCACACATACAGGCACCATTTCAAATCACCATTTCATAAGGGAGGAGAAAACTGATTTGAAGGGTGAAGTAGTTTGCCTAAGAGCACATAACCAGCAAAGGCAGGAGCCTCAGGCTCCAAAGTCTGTGCTCTTACCAGCACTGCTCTTGGAAGCTCGGGCAGGAAAGAGGAGAAAGAAATAAGAGGAAGAGCTTGTCTTGATGAGAGAAAGGGGCCAAGAATGAGGTCTGTCTATTCTAGTCCTACCCTGTATGCCATCTGCTAATTTTGTCTTTCAGTAGACACACTTGTATTTTAAGTAGCTGCCCTTGGATCTGAACCATAATGCACTCCCTCTCAAATTATCTGTACAGTTAGGATTTCCTGGAGTGTTGCCAGTCCACCAGCAAGTAGGATCTTTTTTATTTGCAATGAAGAGTTGGAGTTCCGAGTAAATGGAGAAGTAGGGAGTTTTATGCGTGGTGTGGCACTGCCTTCACAGGGCAGACTGTTTGTCACTTCCTTCTTTTAGTCAGGGCTAAGCTTGTGTACCCCTTGTGCTGTGCAGAAGCATGTCATCATATTCTGTGATGTAGCTGTTGGGAAGTGAATTTCTCCCTGGTGTCTCTCTCCACTTACATCACTTATTTATCCAACTCATCATTTCGCTGTGACTTCAACATCTGACAGCAGATGCAGAACACCCGCCTGCTCCTGACATCACCCTTTATGGAGGAAACAGTGATTTCTATGGCCACAAAGAAGAACTGTTACCCTAGTCATGAGTCTGTGTCTCTTTGTACCCTTACATTACATGATGGTTTGCAGCTTTTCCTGTTGACCATTTTCCATCCCTGCTACATGATGTGACAGCTTTATTTCCAGAATCCACCTCAGGCCAAAACTCACATTTCCCCCCAAAGTGTTGTTGGGTTTTATTGAATACATTTCATTCTTTGTTACCAAAGAAGAGTTAGCTGGTGAGACAATCTCTGTGAAACTAATTCATTTTGCACTTGACAACCTCAAGATATAGGTTGCTTTTATTGCTTCCTTTAGTCCATCAAATAAGTAGCCCCAGTGTGTGTGTGTGTGTGTGTGTGTGTCTGTCTGTCTGTCTGTCTGTCTTTCTACAGCAAAGAGGGAGGAAGGATGTGGCTAAGGGCACATCTACTCCACTGATTGTCCTCCTACCAGACATGATGCAGAGCCTTGTCATTCCCAAAAATGGTACACCACTGCCCTCTACGAGGTGCAGCTGAAAACTCCATTTGCTCCCCAGAGATGGAAGCTGGGATGAGCAGCTTAATGGCATTCTTGCCTATAAAATATTTATGCCCTATTTTAAAAGTAATCTCATTTAACCTGGTGTTGACACCACACCAGTTCATGTAAATGACACAAATTAAGTCTGAACAGTCAAGAGCAGCACAGCCACTTCATCCTCATTTCACTCTTCGTGTAGTCACTCCACTTCCAGGAGGGAACAGCTACTTTCGGCTGTCAGCTATTTGGAAGCTCATTTACCATGGGTTAAGGGGCTCACATCCATATTATAAATCACTTGATTGACAGACCTTTGCCCCCTATGGCACAATCAGTTTTCTATTGTGGAGCTAAGTTATTTTCTCTAAGCAAATGAAAGAGCCCTGAGAAGTGAATTAGACTGAGGGGTGGGGGAATGAGGAGGGAGAGCGGACTGAAAATCTGCACAAGGTAACCAGTGTCACTTCTGCTTTCTTTTTGACTATTCACAAAGACAAAGGGATTGATGACCCAGGAGAAGTGACCTGCTTTGCAGGCAGCAATAAAGGAAGCAACTCTGAAGTTCAGTCCCTCAGCTCCTTCCAGTCTGATTCTGGAGATGACAATGGTAAGAAGACTTCCTATTTTACCTGCAGGTGGGCTCCTGGGGTGGGAGACAGTGGCTGAGGGGAAGATGTGACTGGCAGTGTTTCTTGACCTGTTCGTGGGTTTTGAACATGTTTGCCAGCTTTCTCATTGACTCCCTTGGGGAGTGTCATTGCCAGAGAAGAAGGTCCTATTGAGATGCAGTTCTGAGCAGCCCCAAAGATCTGAGTCAGGGGTTGATAGTGCTCCTGTGGTCCTCCAGTAGTGTGTCCTCTTTGATTTGGATCACAATAGAATTATCATAGCCAAGAGAATGATGTATTTCTTCATTTTATTTTAATTTTGATTTCTTCCCTTTTCACTGTATTCTTAACCTCTTCATCATTAGAAATTAGTTCAGAGACAAGAATGCCTTCCTGCAGAACCAGTGACATCTTTTTTGAGCTGAATCTTCCTTTTGTAAATCATTTTGGGTCGTGGGATTTGGGAGAGTTGTTCAAAACTCTGAAGGAGTTCCTTAGAAAAATGCACACCCACCCAGAATGTTGCGTGCAAGTCCTTATGGCTCACAGACTGCTTTGATAACTCCAAATCTGTTATCTCTGCCTTCTGAGAACTTGTACTTCTGGAGAGAGTGCAAAGGCTGCACTGGGATTTCTGAGTTGAGAAACCAACTTTTGGGAATATGTTGTTCTCTGCTGAGTAGAGAGAGGGAAGCAGAAGCAGTCATAAAACTGAGTGCTTCCCATATGGTGCTAAGGCAAGAATAATTTTATATAGCTCTACCTCAGCCTGTACCTTGGGTCATTCTTCCCATTTACCAGCAATTGGCCAAAATTGATGAATTAATAAACTAATAAAATCGTATAATCAGTCAACACATGAACCTTTGCTGAGTCTATGTGCTGGGCATTTTATATCACAGTACAAAATGAAAATGGCACAGTCTATGCCTCCAATGCAAATGCAAGAAGAGGTGAGCTCCAAGACTATAGCTGCAGTCATGAAAATAAAGTCATCTACTTTTACCACACCCACCCCAGATCTCCTCTCCCTCATCACACAGTGGAACATGTAGAAGTCTCAATATATCTGTCTGCTTGGATAATAAGCCATAGAACTGGATTTCTTCTGACCTTTCTCAGAAAGGCAAGGGCACAGACCTTTGACCTGGGTCAGTTTGCCTTTGTACATCCTCCTTTCTTCATCCCCAGCAAGAGGAAATGCTGTAGTTTGCATTTTATATAAAACATCAAGAGCATACAATTTCAAACTCCAGGCAGCAGCTGCAGCTATGATGCCCAGTTGACAGTTCTCACAGGCTGTTTAGGTCCTGCACCTCCCATCATGGCTAACATTCAGGATTGCTCTCGACTCAGGCATTTGGAGCATTCATCAAATTCTATTTAAACTAGATCACCTCTCCACAAGGTGCATGCATCAGCCACTAAGGGAACTCAATTAGACCACAGAGATCTCCTTCATGATTCTATTTGAGAGGCCAATTGTAGACTTCTGTCACGACTTAGCAGCAGGAGCTGAGCCTTGAGTTGGTGTAGGCTATGGGCAGCAGCCTTTGCACTCAGGCCTGCAAAGGTCATCTTCTATTGCTGGCACTGGGTTCAGCACAACAGGACTGACCACCAAATGCTTATCTCCAGGAACAGTGAGGTTGTCCTCTGAGAGCCACTGGGAGCTGCTAATGAGAAACTAGCATGAGCTTGATGAGCAACTGCTTTCCTAGATTGATTTCACTGGGCCATAGCTGTGAATTTATGACCCAGCAATCCTGCCAATCCTGCTTTTCAGGAGGACTGCTGCCATTTCTCTTCTATTCCAACAACCCCTCCATCCCCCACAAATGAGATCTCACTGGCACACTCCCTAAGGGACAGACAGTGGAGAGGCTTTGTGTACTTACTGTACCTTCACTGTTGTTGTTGTTGTTGTTGTTAAAAGAAGTTAACATGTGTTGGAAATACATAACTAACCTGAAGCTGTCCTTTCCCTCCCTCCCATCTTCTTTTCCTGCCAAAAGCGTCCATAGTGACTGTCATTCAGCTTGTCAACAATGTAGTTGATACTATAGAGAATGAAGGTATTTACTTTTTTTCTTCCATAGCATTTCTTTGTGTAAAGAGTTATCCTTTTAGAAGTTTTGCTTCCATACTACTGTGTAGCGGGGTGGCTTTAATCAAGAGGGGGCAATAAATAGGTGTCTTCAGATAAGATGCTGGATGCTTCTATATAGATTGAAATAACAATTTAAAAAAATAAATATTGGAGTATTCTTCTTTTAAAAATCCTTCTGAGAGAAAAATGTCCAATTAGTTAGAATCCAAATGAATATTAAATTCATTCTTACATTCAGCATGTATTCATTGAACACCTACTGTAAGCTGGGGATCCTGATGAAATCACCAAAAAGTACAATATTATGGGGATTAAATTAAATCAGTTAACATTTATAGCAACTTAATGAAATTATAGCATGATATAGATGGGATTTATGTTTCTATTCCCAAATAACAATGGGAAGAACATTTTAAAAGGCTAAAACTTAGTTCTTTATGAGGATTTATCGTAAGTCTTCTGAGGTGTTCTGCTTTATCTTTCCATGACTTGGTTTGTCAGATTTATTTTTCACTTTGTATTTAAACAGTGTCTGTCATGGACCAAGGACAGAACTACAACCGAGGTGACTGTGCCACAGCCCCAGGATAACATTTTATCCATGCATTTTTACATTGCTGAGTTCATTCTTACCCTGTCCCTCCCCCTCTGTCCTCGCTGAGACTCTGTGACCTGAATTTTGCATGTTCCAGTTGTCTCGTATGCTCAGTACCAAGGTGAAAGCTTCCTCTCCCGGCCTCATCCCCTGTGGCTGTGATCCATCCATTTGCCTGTACGCCCCCCTGCCTCCTGTGGTCCACAGTGTATTGGATGCATCTTTCTGCGAGCATGCTGCCAGCCTGGCTTTGCACAGCATGTGGATGGAAAGATGGGGTGGGAGGAGGATCGGAGCTTCTAGACCTTTGTCTCCTCAGCATGCCTTTGCTGCCCATCTCTCACAGCTCTGCAGCAGCCAGCAGTCTCTCAGAGTTAACATTGCCTTATTCTCCCCAAGCCAGAGCATGGCTGGCCTTGACAAACCCTTGTAAGGAGCATGCAGATGTCCCCAGCTCACTGGGCCTCCTGTGTGTTAAGAATTGCATGTCAGGCCCATTCTCTGCTCCTTTCCCAGTCCTGCCCCAAATCCAGTCTGGAGGAAATTAACTGTCATGGCTCTTCTCTCACAGCCTATCACTGGGACACTTCCGACTGGATGCCAGGGGCCCGTCTGTCAGACATAGAGGAAGTGCCCAATTATGAGAACCAGGATGGAGGGTCTGCACATCAGGACAGCACACGAGAGTTGGAGAGTGATTACTACTTGGGTGGTTATGACATCGACAGCGAATACCCACCCCCTCAGGAAGAAGAGTTCTTGAGTCAGGACCAGCTGCCCCCACCCCTGCCAGAAGACTTCCCGGATCAGTATGAGGCCCTGCCCCCTCCCAGCCTGTCTCATTGGCCAGCACACTGAGCCCAGACTGCAGGAGAAGGCCCCAGTTCCATCCTAGCCAGTACCTCCCTCCTCATCCATTCCCCAATGAAACGGATTTGGTTGGCCCACCTGCTGACTGTGATTTTAGTACTTTTGCTGTGAACATGAACCAGGGAACAGAGGCCACAGGCCCAACAGATAGCATGTCTCTCTCCTTGCACAATTCCAGAGGCACCTCATCCTCGGATGTGTCAGCCAACTGCGGCTTTGATGATTCTGAAGTAGCCATGAGTGACTATGAAAGCGTGGGAGAGCTCCGCCTTGCCAACCTTCATATTCCCTTTGTGGAGACTCAGCACCAGACCCAAGTGTAGAGGGCATGTTGTGGGTTGTGGGTGCTCTTCCCTGCTCCTTACAGAAAAGTGGAAGGAGATTGGCTGGGCTCCTGTCTCAATGGAAAGTAGTCTGTGGAAATGTGCTATTTTCCACAAGGGACTTCTTCATAAGTCATATTGTCACAAGCAAGCTTGATTCCAATTGGGTGAAAAGGAAAGGCTCAGAAATTGTTTCTGAGAGGGACCAATAGTCCTTGGTGAAGGTACCTATGTTTGTGGCTGAAAATGCGAAGGAGGGGAAACGATTGCACTAAGTTAACAGGCGATCCTATATGGCTTAGTGCAGTATTGCATCCTACAAAGTGTGACAGGGTCAGCCCTTGCAGTATTAATAACTGGCAGTGATCAGAGAGCCATTGTTGCTTGTCACTTTGAGCCAATGAGATGATAATAGTAGTGATGATTGTTGGGAAAGTTAGAGTTTTAGGTAAAAGAAAAGAGAAACAATTATCAAATAAGGAAATGGGCTGAAGCCTTTAAAATCAACTATTTTTTTTAAATAAGCTGCCCAATTTTTGGCTATAAAACTAGGTTTGAGTAACATGTTTAGTAAGTTGAATTACTTTTGTTTGTGTTAAGCATCCAATATAATATAGTTGGGTTTTATGATCTTTGAGAAAGTTATCAATGAAGAGCAATACGAGACTATTTGGGCTGCATTGTGTGTGTTGGAAGGTTAATATTCAAACATTGGAAAGAATGTGAGTGTCTTGTTTTGGGTTTCCGGGTAAATATTCTTGGCCAGATCTGCAACTGTGACACTGCTGCAGAAATTGGCTTCTGTTCCTCCATTGTTCTCTAGAACAGAGATATTTAGAAGTTGAAACAGAATTCACAAATTTGGGTGTTGGGGTGGAGGGAGGAAAATACGATACTTTCAAAGTGTTCAGCCCAGATGATCACAGTTCTTCAGAAGGCAGATAAAAGGTGTGTGTGTTATGTTGACTTGGTAGCATCACTATTATAAATATGGTTATGCTTAAAAGGAGAAGGTAGATTAGTTCCTGTGTATAAATTATAACAGTGTGTGTGTCTGGGCCTCTGTACAAATATGCGTTGCACTCAGTAAGGCTGCTCTTGAGGAAGGCTAACTTGAAGGTTTTAGGAAATGGACCATGTTGAAAATCCTGCCGGCAAGCTCGAGGCTTACCTTCCAATTTCTCTGCTCTCTATGGTGTTAGAGAAACACCAAATGCCATATTTTACTTCAATTCAGTTAAACTTATTTTGGTACTGCCATTTATATTAACTTATCAAAACTGTGCTTTTAAAAAAACAGAATTTTATAATTTTTCACAAGTAACCTCTGTTTGAAAAGTGTGTAATGTTTAATTACACCCTGGGATTTTCCTTCCATCTGATGTGGACTTTGGCCAAGACTTTCCAAAATTAACAGGAGAATCATTCACTGGAAATACAAAAACCCAGTACTCAAAAGTTAAAGTTGACAAATTGTGTAACTTTCCCCCTTTTCCTTAATCAGATTATGGCCAGGCATGCAGTGGCCATGGTAAATGAATGCATATTTGCACTATCTGCTTCAGGAGCACATCTCTGTGTCCACAGTTTCTGATGACATCCTGGCATTAGTGTGTGAATCATACTGTCCTGAGTCTGCGTGTCATCACTTATATGTATCTTAGGGTTTCAGATGTGTTTAATCCACTTACTTCTTTATAGGAGTCAATGTTTCTCAATGCTTGTCATTTTTTTTAAACAAAAATTCCTTTTCATTCCCAAACTTCCTGAGTAAGTGGATACACTTGACAGGTTTTTTAAGCCTTTCTCTTCCTGTCTCTTGGTTAGACCTACTCATGGAGGTGTTATACACACTGTGGTCTTGAAATAAATGAATTTCACTAAGGCTGCTTTCAAGAATAAAGTCTCTGATATTTTTCTTATGTAAGAAGCACATTTGCAAGAATCACAAAGAAAATGACAAAACTAATGGTCTAGAATTGAATCACTGCTACACTTTAAATAATACGATGACATAAAAGCCATCAAAGTAAAACCAACAATTCATTTCTTACCCCCAGGAAATACTAGAATGAGATGAATGCGGTTGAGTTGCTGGTGCTTACACAGCATCTCTTCCAGGGATAACGCCTGACTGGCACAGTAATGAAGGCATAAATAGATCCTAATGCAGTTGGGAAGTCACTGAAGAAATTCCTGCTTACCCTTTGCTCTGACCTACACACAATACCTCTGTCTTCAGAATGTCTTTCCCTAATTTTTTTTATTATTATTTTATTTTTTATTTTATTCATATGTGCATACAGTGTTTGGGTCATTTCTCTCCCCTTCCCCCTGCCCCCTCCCTTACCTACCCCAGTCCTTCTCTCTTCCCCCAACCCCCTTGCTATCTCCCTGATTTTCTACAGAATAGCTCTGTAGCTAAATACATAGTAGCCAAGCATGTGCTAGGTTTTGATTCACTAGCTGTAAACACATGATATCTCTTCATCTTTTGAAAAGCTGGGTTCCCCTATAGTTTACAGAATGGTTTACAGTCAGGCTAAGATGGAACCAAGTGGCATAACCACCGATTCAAAGAACTGGAAGCGTCCTTAAGATTTGCTCGTCTGGCCCCCTATTTTATGAAAGAGGAAATATGCCCAGAGAGGGGAAGAACCCTGCCCAGGCTCACGTAAGAAGTGCAGTAGGGAACTAAGGACGAGAGCCTACCCAATAGCCAACATTCTTTTTCAATAACGTTGTTCTCCATTAACCAGCCTTGACCATAGCAGACATTGCTTTTTTCTGATGGACCCTCTAGTTCCTACCATTCTGTCTTTGGAATATGTAAGAAAAGAAAATTCAAGGAGAATGTTTCTGGAGCCCTCATAATCTTGTTTCTTTGAAGCAGCACCACCCCCAGGAAGGATGCACTTGCAGAATTCCTACATTTCTTTGGACATTCATCAAAATGCTGCTTTTACAGAATGAATGTTCATACATGGGGATGATAAGTACAGAACTGTACTCAGCCCAGTCATCAATTGCAGTGAAACTGATTATAGAATAATCAGATTCAGTTTTTGTTTTTGTTTTTTTCCTTCTAACAGCACTACCTGCTGCTTGTTCCTTCCCCCCTCCACCATGATGAAGAACATGGGAACTATTTAAGCCAATGACTGTCTTTCTATTTTTTCTGACATGTGTTGTACACATTCTGGTTAGATTGGGAGTAGCTGGACTATGGTGTCTGACATACTCGAAGCAGGAGTCATGGGGCAGTAAAAGATGAAATGAGTAGATGCTTAATTTATTCCCTTTCCTCTTAAGAGTATCTTCCTGCTGAGTTCTTTTCAATTTCCTGCACATTCGTGAAATGCCATGGTAAAAGTCTTACTAATATAAGTTGGTCAAACCCATGCACCTCAGGTTTGACCTATAAGAGAATCAGTGTGAAAGTTTGGAAAGGGAACTTACTCTGAGATTTACTGGGAACTTTCCTTAGAACTCACTAGCACAGCCTGGAGAAAAGGCAAATTGAAAATATATTCCATTGGCCTCTTGCTTACTTCCCAGCCTTACCCTAATGCTGTGCCTGCATCATCACAGTCAGGGAGACTGAAAAAGGACTGATCAAAACAAACCATTGAAGACCCAGAAAACACTCTTAGGTGAAACAGTTCAGGAAGAGCTAGTGTTTGTGTTGCTTGGATTGTCCAGATAATTGTCTGCCCTCTTCAGTTTGCTGCCTGTCAGCACACAGATATTGCCAAAACAGTCAGGCTCTGATGTCTTGTGCTCTTTGTTTCAAACATTGGCAAATGGGGATTTGAAGAGGCATTTCTTCAGTGTCATCATTTTGTGTGGTCTGTGAGAAGGTGGTTTTGTGTTTTCGCTGGTTTTGTCCTGCAACATTCAACTGCACATTAGTCTGACGACAACCCACATCTTTGAGCTTCTGGTTGTGTAATCCTGGAGTTTCAAAGTCACTGTGTGTGGGTTTGGCGTCAGTTTACATTTAGCCAGCTGGCTAAGATAGGAAAAAAATAAGGTATTTCTTTCCTTATATAATAATGAAAAGCAATAATTACAAGTATGTAATAATACACGAAGGCCATAATTAGTCTCTTCCAGTGTTTAGGATGCACTAGAGAATTGTGTAGTCATTTGGAGTGTGTTCAGATCCATTAGTGTATACTGTAGTACCCTTCCAGCAAACAGATACCTGAATTGCTATTCCACAATTTTATTAGCCCATACTACTGCATTTTGGGAGTGACAAATGAGTTTGGAAATGCAAGCAGTTCTTTTAAAGCACTGTATCAGAGACTGTCTTGTACATTTACCTGTTGCAAACAGGCTGCTTTGTAAAAGATGTATGTTTTGGTGTTTAAAATGTTTATAAAATTGTATATAAATGTTTCAATTTTCCAGGCTTTTGTAGATACTATATTTGATGCCTACCAGGATGCTTTAATTTCGAGGGTCGAATATAATTCTAAGTCATCCACCTTGTTGGTCTGCAAACTTTTGAGGTAACTACATACAAAAAAATAAGACTTTAGATTTGAGAATGATTTTTTTTAATTATTTCAAAATGTACTGTAACTTTTCTTTGGTTCTACTGTTTTCACTTAACCTCCTCTGTTTTCAAGAAAATGTTTCTATTGACATTTTTTTAAAGATGAATGTGTTTTGCCCAGTTATTAAGCAACTGATCAAGATGAGGTGTATCATTTCTTCTCACACATGCACACTCACCTAAACTTGCACACACATCACACACCAAAACTTATGCAAAGCGGAAAGCTAACACTTGAAGTGGATCTTGTCCCTATGGAAATGGATTGTTCCTGCATATATTGCTGTTGGCGGTATTCAGTCTTGTGTTCTTTTTCTAAAAAAAATGAAAGAAAAACAAACAAAAAAACACAGCCAAAAAAAAAAAAGACAAAAGACAAAAAAAACCAACAGTGTACAGGTTTGTAACTGCCAAAATTTGATGGTCAAAACAAGTTTTCAAGTAAAAAAAAAAATGAAGCCGTTTGTTGTGCTGACTCTTTGTAAGTGGTTCCTGTGTGTGTCCTGGGTTTCCCTGGCTAATTTCTCACATGGCACCTAGGAGGGTATATTCTGCAGGGCAGAGTGAAAAGGCCAATCTCAGCAATTCAATTCTCATCTCCACTCAAAGAACACAGTCTCTGGCCTGAAGGAAATCTTTTGGTTTCGTTGTGTTTTGTGGCTTTTTTCCTCTCAAAGACTTTCTGCCTTTGTTGAGATGCACGTACGTTGGAGTCTTCTGTAACTTCTTACTGGACACATTCTCTGTGGTGCTTTTAAGAGTGCCAGAGGCTAGAATAGGTAAGGGCCCTCAGGTTCCACCTCTGCAAAAGTGTCCCCTAAGCACAGCTCTGTCTCTTCTTGGCAGTAGGTGCAGTACTACTCTCTCAAAAAAAAAAAAAGTTTTCTCAAAAGTTTGGGGCATAGTTGGTGCTTGAGTTTGCCTCTACGTCTCCAGAAATTCTACATGGAGTGAAATGAGTTAAAATGTATAAGGCAATTTGGGAGGGTACAGAGCTCAAATTGACAATTTGAAGATGAGAGACAACACAAAAAGGTAGTCTAAGACCCGGAAGACTCTAGAAAGAAGCTAATCTGTGCCTTGCTTTGGTGAGGGCAGGCCAAGGCCTATAGCCAGTAAGCAAATGTCCAGAGGCTGCCATCAGAGTGGGCCCTGTCTACACCAGCAGCAGAACTCAACCTGTCCAAGGATCCTGTCCAAGATTCAGCCAGGGAGTCACAACTCCATGAGAAATGGCTACAGCTAGACATGAGTCTTCTTTCTTGAAATCCTTATTGACTTCCACCTTCAGAACTCACTGAGTTCTGGGAATTTGTCCATACCCCCAGAGGTATGCAGGTGTTTTAACAGCTGGGTTTATGCACCCACTGGCAGCATAAACCAATTCCTTTGGTATAAAGACAGCTATCATGACTGATTTTGCACTACCAAGGTAATGGGAAGCGGTTCACAATATTCCTGAGAGTCTAACAGTCTCACCAGCCAGTAGGAGCTACGCCAAGGGTCCCCCCACACCACCACTACACCATAAGTTACCTGAAGGCAACGTAGCGTCATCACCTCACAGTAGTATACATATGGCCCTCATTCAATGTTTTAGAATGAAAAAATTAATGAC